CCATCTTCAAAGAAAGCAAAAGAACCGGACAAAGTTAGCTAATTACAAGAGGAACACACAAAAAAGACTGGAAAACATTACAACCTGCCTAAGAAAAGAACTGTAATAACCCACATTAAATCAACAGTGACGAATATGATCAAATGCTTGGAAATGAACACTACTAGGGCACCAATCCTGTTTGTAGAAGTGACAATAAGCAGCACCCGTCAACAAGACTAGCGCAGTGGCACAGCTGAAAAGGGACAAGCACTACTACGCTGTTGGCAGCACAAGGCTCTGTTTCAAGTCTGCTTTGAAAGCAGAAGAGTTCTGGGTACACACACATTCACACACTTTTGTAGTACTTGCCAAGGAGATCTGCAAAGGCTTTTTACTTTACAATTAGGAGACGTCATTTAGTCCAAGGCAATTTTTTTTTATCCTGTTTTGCAAAAACTTACGTAAAACAGGTATCAAAATGTTTTCAAAGATAGCTTTGACACAGAAATAAATAATAAAAAAAAGCTTTATTTGTAAAACACCAAGAATTCACACAAGAATTTAGTCTTATAATTACAGGTTTGTTAGGATATGCTTAAAACTTAAAACAGAGAGAACAAGATGACTGCTTTGGTTTGCGGTGTGGAGTTTTTCAGTTTTGGGTGTTTTTTTTTGTTTTTTGTTTGGTTGGGTTTTTTTAACTCATTTGATTAAGAGGAGTGAAAAAAAAAAAACATTAATTCATTTTTCTAGACACTGCCAGAGATATTTTGGAACTAACGCCTTAATTTTCATATGACTACACTACGGAAGAACTTTAAGATGTTTCAGACGTTGAGGACTGCAGCTGATTTGCTTCAATATCCTAATAGCCAAATTACTAATAGCCTAAAAGACAGAGGCTTCTCTAAGAGGCACTGCATTTTCTATGACTTAGATTATTCCAAGAGACTGAATTGAGGGGAAGGGGATTACTCAATTTTTCCAAAAATGATCAAAACTAAAAGCTGAAATAAGGATTTTTTAAACACGTATTTTCATTGAAAAGCAAGTGCACAGGAGCTCAAACACTGCTAGCTACGAGTTCTTTTGTGCCTCATTTGTGAAAATTAGTTATGACCATCCCGAATATAAGAACAAGATGAAAAGCTAATCATGAGCAGCTTGAAGGAAAGACATTATTATCTCAATTAAAGCCTTCAACGGTTGTTGAAGAAAACCTGGTCCTTGAGAAAAGATTCTTGGTCAACTCAACTAGAAAGAATTACAGTTCTGCTCAGAATTACCTGACCCTCAGAAATTACACAGGGTGCATTTAGCCATCATGTTCCTCTAGTACTGCCTGATGTTCAGGACTCTCAGCGCCATCAGTGCAATCCTACTCACGCTCTCAAACTAACAGTGCTCGTGAAGAGCTGTTTCTAGCTTCCAGGAGAATCTGTGCAGGGAAACGGGCATCTGTTCACACTGCATGATCCAGTGAAGCCCAAAACACTGGCACCTCATTTTTTGATTGGGCAGAGTACTAGCAGAACAAACAGCACCATTTTCCCCAAAATGGAACACTTAAGGAGTATTTCCTACTTTCCCTCATGTCAAAAGGTTTCACAAAAGAGAGATTTTCTTCAAGAGCAAGAAGCATCATGGACGATGCAGCTGCAACCTCCTGCATGAGGGCTCAAGACACTAGAGGAGACTGAACAGCCTAAAGGAACACAGCATGAGGAAGACAGCTCTCCAAATAGCCTTTTTTTTTTTTTTTGAGGCATACAGCATCATAGGAACTGGAAGAGAAAAGGCCTTCTGACTTAGAAGGACATGATTACCTGGAGAGAACAAAAAAAAAAAAAAAAAAAAAAAGGATCATAATCTTGGAAGACAGAAATAGGCACAATGGGTATTTCAGAGGCTTGCATCATTGATAACCTTTACTCAACCTCTGACTTCTCCTCCTGCAGAACAGATTCACCACAGCCTTGCCAACCTGCCAGACATTTTTTTTGTCGATGGAGACTGGTTTTGCTGTCACATTAAAGAGACAAGTGCAACTTGGAAGGGAGGCCTCTAGTGGCACCAAAAAGTGAATAAATACATTAAGCGTGCTTACAGTTCATGAGTCAGATTACTAAAGTTTTATAAAGGTGGGAATTTTTTGTTTCTTGTTGTTTGCTTTGTTGTTTTTTTTTTTTTTTAAAAAAAAAAAAGCCTTACCTCTGGTTCAGATTTCACTTCTGATTTTGCTTGGCCCACTGGTGTGATTGCTCTAGCTTTCATCTCAGGCCTTCCCTGTGAGTTTCCAACACCAGGTACGGACTTGGTGGCAGACATCGTGCTGGTAATGGGTTTGACCTGAGCAGCTGGGGTAGAGGTTCGCCTGTTGTTGTTCATTTCCATAGCATGTGATGGTGCTATTGGCAATTCACGCAAGTTACTGTTTCTTGGAGCAGTTGACTGTAGCTGCTGATTTGAACGCTTGACAATATTCTGTGATGGTGTATTCTGAAAAGCAGAAAGGAAAAATACTGCAGACTTCCACTGCAAATCAGACTAAAGTGTTTCCTGTTTCACATTTTCATGATTTAGTTAAGTTTGTGAAAAAAAACTTTTAAAAGAGGCATAATATTTTCAATATGAGAAGAAAAACGATAAAAATGAGAACATTTTAACAACAGTTTTATTTATTTAATTAAAAGTAAAACTGCATCTCACTTGATTAACATCCTTCTCAGAAATTTGCTTCACTGTCTGATTCACTTTCCTAATCAAAGCAATGATTCTGAACTTCAGTCATGTTGTCTTGAGCACTGCTACGGACTGTTGTGCTACCCCAACCTACCAAGCAACAGAACATGCTGCACGGGAGCAAAGTCACAAGACACAAGTAAGTGGCATTATCTGAACCAGAAAGCTTACTAGCAGTGGTACAGAGAGGCCTTCAAAATGAAAGACAGTGTCAGAGAACTGGGCTCCCACACAATCACAGGCTATCAGCAGTTTTTAAACCTTATTAAGCAAATCCATTCTCCAGAGGAGAAAAGAAAAAGATACACGTGCTGTTCTTGGATGTAGGTTATAAAATGATTAAGGCAGAAAATGAATGAGAAATGGTGGAAGAAGGGCACAGAACAGGAAGGGAATAAATGAGACTGAAAAACCACCCTGGTGAGTTTTGAAACCTGAGTTTACACACCTGCTACTCATGCAGAACTACACAAGGCAATACTGATGTACGTGGTACTTACATGCCTTGGCTTCATTGGACCCTGTCGCGGCTGACACTGCATCCTGTTGTTATTTGGCTGCTGCTGCGTGGCCTGCATATGAGGCCTGAACTGTGGCTGGTTCATGGGCATCAAGGGCTGCGGTGGCCCTTGGAGATGATGGTGGTGTTGCTGCTGCTGCTGCTGGTGATGGTGTTGCTGCTGCTGGTGATGGTGCTGCTGAGGCTGAGGCTGTGGCTGAGGCTGTAATGGAGGATGCAAGGGACCCTTCACAGGAAGAAAAAGATTATTTGACTTTAGTTTCAAGGTAATAAACTCCTGAAAAGTAGCTCCAGCCTCCCAAGTCCTCAAAACATCTGTCAGCAGCTATGGACCAGTATAAACCAAAAGTAATACACTGAGTAAAAGCCATACTAACAGCAGCTGTGCAAGGTAGCTGTACACTTAAACCTGTGTAAGCCAACAGCTGAAGTGGAAAAAAGCAAATGCAAGGGTTCCCGCCCTCTGCTGCCTTTTCTAATGACTTTTAAACTGGTTTGTTTGTGGGGGTTTTTTAGTTGTTTTTTTTTTCCCCCCAACATCAGAGGACTTCAGGATTTCCCCACATTCAACGCACAGACACACACATAAAGCCCACGGGACACGCAGGGCCCAGCACACCCCCAAAACCTGTACCTACTCCAAGCCCCAAATTCAGGTTCCTCCCGGTTTGCCGGGGGCCCCCGGCTCCCCGCCAGGCTCCGCGGCTGAGCAGCAGAGGGCGCTCC